TTTGAATCAAATCCTGAAGAGTAGGGGCAAGGGAAAGGCCACACTTCTGCCTTGTTCAGGGAGGCACAGATCCGCAGGCTTCAGTACAGTGAGACATTTTTTCTTTATAGCTAAATTTGAAGCTATAAAGCAATCCTTTTTTCTTTTTACATTTTTTATGTATTAGAGAAAGGGATTTGAGCATATTATTTTCTCTTTCCAGGAAAGTTAATTTGCTTGGCTAAAGAACAAAGGACCTTTCATGTTACTAGGTGGTTCTGTTGGAACATAGGCTGTTTGGAAGTAGCCCTCTGCCCGAGATGGGAGCTTCTGAGTTCCAGGTTAGCAGTCGGCAGTGTGGGACAGTGACAGGAGCTCTGGCTTCTGACAGGCTGCCGTGTAAGTCATGTGATCTCTTCAAACTTGATTTGTGGACTGAGCGGCATGGACTTCTTGAGTTGGCTCAAGTAGAAACAGCACACACAAGGTGGTAGGTATATCGTACTGGCAAATGGAAGGTTGTAATAACATAATTATTTTGTTTGAGAAATTGAAAGAGCATAGTTGATGAAAGGGGGTAAAAATGAAAGAAAAAATAAAAAGCCCTTCCTATTAGCTTTCTAGTCAGGCTGGAGGTTGGGGCTGCCGTGCCTGACTCCATCATGGCCACCATGTCTCTCATCTTCCCCGAAGCTGCTGAGTCAGCATTCTTGACAGTGGCGTGCCTGTGGGTGCGTAGCCATGCAAGGGTGTCTGTGGGTGACCAACTGAGGATGTACCATCCAAGGTAGAATGTTGCTTTGTGTAGTTGTCTCTTGGTTTGGCTGGCCTCCAATTTAAGATCCTCTTGTATGCTGTTCCGAACCGGGATTACAGGTGTGTGCTGTACCCGCCCCCCCCCACCAGCTGTTGATTGAGTGCAGTTGTGGGGAGGCAAAGGTCACCTGTCCCTGTCACAACAGTTTGGTCAGGCTTCTTTCCATGGCAGAACGAAGGGGAAGGATGCCCAAGCTGCACTGCGCTGAAGAACAGTTGCTGGGGAAACAAAGGAAGGCTGGCAGGCAGGGGGGCAAAGCTCCCATGTGGGAACCCGTTTTTAATCACCACCCCCCTACGCTGCTCTCCAGTGGTTTCCTGTGGGTTTTCCTGTGATAGGCTGGAAGGGTTTCTGACAGCCGAGAGTTTGTCTGACCAGCGGTGGCGATATTCTTGGTATTGTGTGTTTCTTTCTCACTGTGGTGGGGATTGTTGTAAACACTGTTGCGAGTCTTGCCAGAGTCCTGGAAGTGGAGAAACCACTGCTGAGGTACATGTACCTGCCTCAGGTGCTGTGGGAGGAGGACTTAAGCAGGTCAGTTTGACACTTGAGTCTGATTCGCAGCGCTGTAGATTCCCTGACAGTGAATTCAGTCTTTTGAAATAAAATTTGAATTGGGTGTGGTGGTTCAGGCCTGTAGCCCAGCTCTTGGGAATCTGAAGCTGGAAGGTCACCTGGGGCTGGGAGGCCACCCTGAGCTACAAAATGAGTTCCAGATGAGGTACAATGTAGCCCTGTCCCAAGAAAATACAGAAACTAGATACATACAGGTTGCCCTCAGAGCCCTTGAAAATCACTTCCCGCTTTCTCCACTTTCGCTGTGGGATGTGCGGCCATTCCAGTTCCGGGAAATGTGAAAAGTCTTACAAGGCATCAAGGAGGCCGAGAAAGATGATGAAGTTGCAGGTGGCCGGTCCAGTCGTGTAGCTGGTTATGGGCTCCCAGCACCTGTTTGTACCTTAGTTCACAATAATTGCTTATTTACTCAACCCCCAGCTCCCCCCTTCCGATACACCTCAGGGAAAGTGAGAGAAGAGAGAGTGAGAGTCAGTCTGTGGGTGGGAGAAAAGGTCCAGCTTTGAGATCAAGTCTAACTCAGTGTTCATGCTTTGTATGAGTTTCTAATGCTGGGTCCCATTTAGCAGCTTCAGGCTCCACCTGTGCATAAGTTCACAGCTCTGTAAGGGGAGGAGGATGATGGCCCAGCCCCAGGCCAGTGTTGCAACCCTCCTTGCATAGGCTCTTACAAAGCCAAATAAGATGTCAGCCAGGCTAGCTAGCCTCTTTTCCGGAAGCTTTGGGGGGAAAGGATCTATTCCAAGTATATTTAGGTTGATAGCAGAATCCAGTTTCTTTAGGTGACTTTAGGGACAGAAGAAAATTTCCCCTCTGCCCTTTCACAGGCCCTTGGAATGAACTGGCAAAGGTGAAATGGGATTAAAAAAAAAAAAAGCACATGAACGTATTTAAACGCAAAGATGCCATCCAATTGTCCCCAGTGGCCACACGATCCTAAATTCTGCAGAGGAGGGAGGGGTGTGGGCAGTTTTGAGAGGCCCTTGCTCATAGTTAGGGCAGTGAATGGTCTGAGGCAGAAAAACAGCTGCTTGTGAAATGATACTTTTGGAATTTAAGCGAGCCCAAGGGACCAGCATCATCTTGCAGGGGAGAGGAAGGTCGGTGGCTTCTGTCCCTGGTCACCTTTTCTGTGGCAGATGGTGGGGTTTTGGGTGGGACAGAGGCAGCGGTAGCTACTAATGTCGCTGAACAAGGCCAGGTGAGAGGCCCTGGATTCTGAGCCTGCTTCTGAGGCTGTTTCGTTAATTTCCATCAAATTACCTAGCCAAAGCATTGCATTTGGGGAATGTCATTCAGGCCTGGGTTTCTGATTTCTCGTTGGGCATCAGCGACCTACAGGCTACTGGAGAAGCCTCCCAAATTCCTTCTCAGGTGACCCTCCATCTCCAACGTCTACAGGAGTTCTTAAATTGATTTCTTCAGGTTGACCAGAGGGCTTTTGAGTGCTGCCATATAGTGTAGTCAGGAATGGCACCAAGAGGTAGAGCTCACAGGGCATCTTTAAACTCTCCTAAGGGTGATGCAGAGATGGCTCACTGGCTAAGAGCACTGGCTGCTTTCCCGGAGGACCCAGGTTCAATTCTCAACACCCAGCAGCTCACAGTTGTCTGTAACTCCAATTTTGGGAGATCCAGTGTCCTCTTCTTACCTCTGTGGGCACTGCTCACAAGTAGTACACAGACATACATGCAGTCATAACACACAGAAAATAAAAATTAATATTTATAAAACAAACCCAAAGACCCTTCTAAAGCCAGGCATAGTGGTAATTAATCTCAGCACTTGGGAAACAGTGGCAGGTAGATCTTTGGAGTTCAAAGCCAGCCTGGTCTATAGAGTGAGACCCTCTTTCACTCCAAACAGGACAACAATCTTGTCTAGCCACTTTCCCTTCACCCCCGAGGAGAATGCGTGTCTGTGTGGATCTGTGTGTCTGCAGATTTGGGCAAAGCACAGCATACATGTAGAATGACCACTCTCCTGCAACCTCATGGGATCCAAGAACCATTTGATCCCAACATTCAGAAGGCAGAGGGATCTCTGTGAGTTTGAGGCCAGCCTGGTCTACAAAGTGAATTTTAGGGCAGCCAGGGCTATACAGAGAAACCCTGTCTCAAAACAACAACAACAACAAAAAAAAAAACAAAAATAAAAAACAAACACACACACAAAAAGAAGAAGAAGAAGAAGAAGAAGAAGAAGAAGAAGAAGAAGAAGAAGAAGAAGAAGAAGAAGAAGAAGAAGAAGAAGAAGAAGAAAACTCATGTCCTGTTCGACCTCAAGTTACTCGTACCTGCTGAACCATCTTGCTGGCCCAATAATAGCTTTTTTAAAAAGTTCATTATAGTATTAATGTTTGTACGGTCCGTGCACAGGCACACACTGCATGTGTATGTACAGGGTCAGAAAACATCACTGTGGAGTCAGTTCTCTCCTGTCTGGGTTCCGGAGATTGAACTTGTGTCATCAAGTTTACAGACAAGGCACGCTCCATCTTGGGGTGCCCCTCAAGGGGTTTTCTCCAGCAGTGTAGCCCTTTGAGGTTCATTCTCCAGATGTAATGTGAGCCAGCGATCTGCCACTGATCTACACACCCAGCCCTGCTTCCCCAACCCCTACCCCCCTTTTAAGACAGTCTTATGTAACCCAGGCTGGTTGCAGACTTCTATGTAGGCAAGGATGACCTTGAGTTTGTGATCCTTCTGCCCCTACCTCCTAAGAGCTAGAATTATATGCCAGGCGGTGGTGGCACAAACCTTTAATCCCAGCACTCAGGAGGCAGAGGCAGGCAGATCTCTGTGAGTTCGAGGCCAGCCTGGTCTACAAGAGCGAGTTCCAGGGCAGGCTACAAAACTTCAGAGAAACCCTGTCTCGAGACCCCCCTCCCCCCCAAAAAAAACAAAAAAGACCTAGAATTATAGTCACGTGCTACCAGGTCTGGTTCGTGCAGTGCCAGGGTGAGAACCCAGGGCTTTGTGCGTGGCAGACAACACTCTGCCAACTGACCTACAGCCTCAGCCTTCACGGTCTTGCCGAGTTGTCTTAACTGACCTTGACTTCCCTTTCTAATCCAGGCAGGCTTTGAATTTAGGATCCTCCAGCTTCAGCCTCTCAAGCAGATGGGATTAGCAGGCAGGCCCATGGCTGGTCAGCCACCTACCTTGACTGACTTGAATGCAAGTCAGTGAGCGCCTCTGCAGTTTCTAGCCAGGGCTCTATTCATTGTGTTATACTTGTTCAAGGCAGTTTTGTCGGAGATCTCTCTTGTATGATCCAGACACAATCAAGTTGGGAAGGGCTACCAAAGGTGTCACAGTCGCCAACTTTTCTGTACCAAAGAGTTAAGAGAGAGGGGGAGAGGTGGCGAGTCCCCATCCAGACCTTTCTGGTGCTTTCTTCCTCCCCTTCGCCCCAGCCCAAAGGTGGCACTCCTCTTCAGCTGCTGTCTCTGGGAGACTGAGGGCGGAGAGTTCTGCTTGTGTCCCTGACAAGTGGTGGCTTCTAGTCAGGGGCTCAGCCAGCAGCTGGCTCCTGCCACTCAGCTGGGAGGCCTGTTCTGCAGAGCAGAGGGCTGAAACTCCCTCACTGCTCCCCAGCTTTTCTTCCTGTCCTTCTGTGCCCCCAGGAGATTCCCCAAGAGCTAACACTGGATGCCTTGCTGGAAATGGACGAGTCTAAGGCGAAGGAGATGCTGCGGCGCTGGGGGGCCAGCCCTGAGGAGTGTAGCCGGCTACAGCAAGCTCTCACCTGCCTTCGGAAGGTGACTGGCCTGGGTAAGAAAGGCTTGCTTCCCTCCCCCAGGCCTCTGTTACTGCCCGCGTGCCCAGGCCTGGCCAGCTCCCTGGGAGATGGGACTTCTGCTGAAGTGGGCCTTGGGACGTAGAGAGGGGGATGCTTCTGGGTTTCTGAGGCAGCTTTGGTGGGACTATTGAGAAAGTAGTATGGTAGAGTTTGGCCCTGAGGGAGCCCTCTCAGAGTCTCCAGGGCCTTGGAGCCCAGTTGCTCTGGCCAGTCTGACCTAGGAAGCCTCAGCCATTGTTAGGAATCCTAGTTGGCTTTCAGGACAGGCCCTGTATGCCAGGCCTCCCACACACACTGGAAGGCATCTGTGTTGCTCCGACCCCTCCGCTAGCTTCCTGCATTCCAGCCCCGCTCTGCTAAACAGTTCCCCTGTTGCTCCTGTTCTTGTGGGCTGCTCCAGCTCTCTGCTCACAAGGGTCCTCTGATATCAGTGTAGCCTGAGCCCGGCATAGTTATGAGAAATCTGCAGCTTCTTCTCCGGGTGTGTGCCCAGGCCCCAGGCCGTGCATAATCCGCCATTACCACAATCTCCCCAGGGATTATTCACGGACATTCTATGTCTTCCCTTGGAAACAGTTCATTCCCACCGCCACCCAGAGAAGGCACTGCAGGGAGCTAATGAATGGAAGCAGGCCTCATTTAAAGGTTTAAAAGATCTGAGCAGCCTGCTTCAGCTCCATCCCCCTGAGGCTGAAAATGGAGGCACCCGGCTTTATTATTTTTTAAAAAATAATTGTTTGTTATGTATGTTATTTTTTAAAAATAGTGTTCTGTCTGCATGTATGCCTGAAGGCCAGAAGAGGGCACCAGATCTCATTGCAGATGGTGTAAGCAACCATGTGGTTGCTAGGAATTGAACTCAGGACCACTGGAAGAGCAGCCAGTGTTCTTAACTGCTAAGTCATCTCTCCAGCCCTATTATATATATATTTTAAATAATTTAAAATTTTTAAGGCAGGATCTTATTGTGTAGTGCTGGCTGGCCTAGAATCCCTTTGTAGACCAGGCATGCCTCAGACTCACGGAGATCCACCTTTCTGCCTCCCAAGTGCACCACTAAGCCCAGCTGATGTGTTTTGTCCCCCAAAGGGCAGGGCTTAAGTAGTGACAGCACCTGACTGTGTGTGGTACTAGATATGTCTGAGGTCCACTGTGCCAGGACACGAACGTTCACAGTTCTCCGGCATTCCTGTGATAGATAGGTCCTGAGCTTCCCATTGTTGCACATGACTTCGTCACTGGTCACCACGGTCGCAAGCTGCCAGAGCATCTTGCTTGCACCCAACAGGACCTGGTGAGAGCTCAGACATCCTGGTCCTCAGTTCCTCTTCTGACCCCCCCCCCCCCGTAGGATTGTGTGAAGGCAAAGTGAACTCCAGGGGTCACTAAAGGTCAGGTGTACTTTTCACTGTTAGGCTGTGGAGGATGGGAAATGTTGCCGTTGTTTCACCTCTCGGTCTCTGGTCTTTTCTTCCTATGTGGTCTGTGTTGGCCGTGAGCTCACCATCCTCTGATGTCAGCTCCCTGAGTGCTGTGGTACAGATGTGTGCCACCAAGCCTGGCTGAATTCTTGGCTTTTGTTTAATGTTTGTTCTGCTTTGTTTTGTTTTTGAGACGAGGTCTTATCCTGTAAGCAGGGTCTCTGACGGGCATGCACTGCCACACCCAGCTGATGTTTGAAGACTTTTTTCTTGTTTTCCTTTTTGGTTTTTGAAACAGGGTCTCCTGTAGCCTAGACTGACTTTGAACTTACCATGTAGTCAAGAATGCCCTTGAACTTTTGATCCTTCCACCTTTACCTCCCTGAATAGTGGGATCACAGGTGTGTGCCCCCTCCCATCACCACCCAGCTACTGGCCTACAGCAAAGTTTTCCCTTCCTCTGTACCTCAGCTTTCTACAGGATCTGTCACCTCTTCCTTTTCTGATGTCCCACTCTGGAGTGGGTGTCCCAGCATCCCCCCCTTGTGTCAATTGAGTACCATGGAAGGCGCTCTTGGGTGCACGAGAGCCCCTGACAAGCCAGAAGCTGGGAGCAGAGCCTGCTGCCGCTGAGGAACATTGTCACCTCAGTCAAAGTGCCGTACTTTTGATAGTAATGGCACCCTTGTCCCTTGTATTTCTGACTGACCCCTTGGCCCACAGGAGGGGAGCACAGAGAGGACTCTGGTCGGAGTTCGGCAGATGCACAGCGGGAAAGCAGTTCAGGGCCTTCGGTGGACATGCTCTCCCCGCTGGGCAGAGTGGGTGCCAGCACTCAGGGCCCGCGTTCCATCTCAGTGTCAGCCCTGCCTGCCTCGGACTCTCCAGTTCCTGGCCTCAGTGAGGGCCTGTCGGACACCTGTATTCCCTTGCACACCAGCGGCCGGCTGACCCCCCGGGCCCTGCACAGCTTCATCACGCCCCCTACCACACCCCAGCTCCGACGGCACACCAAGCTCAAGCCGCCGAGGACACCCCCACCGCCGAGCCGCAAGGTCTTCCAGCTGCTACCCAATTTCCCCACACTCACGCGGAGCAAGTCGCATGAATCCCAGCTTGGAAACCGAATCGATGAAGTCTCCCCAATGAGGTACCTTTGCCCTCTGACTTCCTCTTAGGTACATACCAAGAACTGATAAAAGTCAAGCCACATAGAAGTGTGGAGAAAAAAATAGGTGGCCATCCCTTTGCAGCTGGACCGAATCCCAACAGATCTCTTTCCGTACATACAGAAATATATAAAATGGTGCCATGTATCCGTCAGGATAGGCTAGACTAAGCCACAGTAACAAAGCAGCCCTATATCTCCAATGCTTAAAATGCCAAAGACTTGATTCTCATAGGCTAGGCAAAACAACTCCTGTGTAGAACATTACTGGTCACCGACAGACCAAACAGAATTCTAGATGTTGTGTACTGGCAATTAAATAGAGTTCCTTCCCCGTGTTCATGGGTTGTATCTGAGGATCCACCATTGAAGGACTGAAAATATTGGGAAAGAGCTGGGGATGGGCTTTCGTGATAGAACACTTCCATCTCCAGCACACATGAAAAACACCTGGGAGAAAAATGTGTGTGCCTGCAGTTTTTCTCTTATCCCTGTTTCTTAACAACACGATATAACAACTCTTTAAATAGCATTTACGCATGGCCCAAAGGCAGGAGCGTGGTGGCTCGTGGTACCTCTGTAGAGGTACACCATAAAAAGTGTCCCTGTGTCCTCACCGCCACTACCAATATCTGTAATAATCAAAGCAACCTGACCCAAAAACCTCCTCGTGGCATGCCAGCATTTAACTTAGTCGGTGTGACCCTTCTGGTGGGTGTTTAGACAGTTGTGGGTTTTGCTGGGTTTGGGGGCGTTCTTTTTCTTATTACCCTTTTTTTCTGTGACACGACTCCTTTTCTAGAGGGTTCCCAGGGCCTTGGTGGCCCGTTTGCCTTTCTGCTCACATGCAGCCTATCTTGGGCCCATTACATGTCAGACGCTAGGTGGCTGAGATGCTTGGCACTGTTGACCATGGAGCAGAAACCTAGAAAAAATCCCTCTGTGCCCCCCCCCATCCATCTGTGTAACCAAGCCCCGACGTCACCAGGTGCAGCTGTAGAAAATAGGAGAATTGCTGCATGGTCCGTTGCAGAGGACCTCGCGGTGGCCTTGTTCCTCATTTATCCTGAGAAGAGCAGTGGCTTTGTCCCGTGTTCACACAGGGAGCAGATCCTCAAACCAGGACCACTGCCTTCAGACCTCAGGATTCTGAGTCCATTCCCCTCAAACCCTGCCACGGATTCTGCCCTGACAGAGGCTCCCTGGTGAACTCCCAGGGCAACAGGAAGTCCTCATTTCCCTAGCCCCCTGCCTTTTTTGGGAGTTCCAGCCGAGAAGGCAGGCTTGCTCAGAGCACGTCCCTACTTGACCCTTCCTGGAATCCACCTTTAGGCTCTGCACGGCTGAGTCCCTGCTCAGCTCCCCAGTTCCCTGCCTCTCTAACACACCAACCCACCCCCCTCTTCCTGGACCTTTGGCACCCAACCCCCATGGGTCACGTGACCGAGGAAGCTACTGTTTCCTCAGCAGTGAAAAAAGGGTTAACTGTGCCTTGTTGGGTGGCTAGCAGGACTTACACAGAGCCAGGTCTCTGACCCTTGTCCAGCCCTTGACCTAGTCTATCACCAGGTAGTTTTCCAGGTACAGGTTGAGCCAGTGTGGTGACATCGCCCCCCCCTTGTTCTTTTTGTCTCTCCAGGTTTGGTAAGAACAATTCATTTTCATCCCTTCTACCACCGGCAGTCATGTTCGAGTCGCTGTCCGTGGCTAGGGTGGATTTCTCTGGCCCCCACCTTAGCCCATTGGCTGGCTGTTCCGTAGTGCAGTAGCAGAAGTACTGGCAACCACTCCGTGAAATGACAGCCTGGCCTTAGCGCAGCCCATGGGAAGTGGAGACTTTGAAAGTGTCTGGCTCAGTGCACATGAGCCCAGTACCAAGCCTGTGTCCACCCTGCCATCACGGTAGTCACCCTGTGCCTACTCCTTTCTTCTGAGCTGCCTCGGAAACTGTGTTCTGGCTAGGAGACATCATCTACCTAGTGCCCTGCCAAGATCTCAGGACTCCCCTCTCCAGGAGACAGACATTCCCGGAGCAGCTCAGGCCCTCACAGACTTACAAACTGAGAGGGGTCAGCCCGACCTCCTGGGTCTGCCTTGGGTGCTCTGAGAGAGAAGCAGCAGTGTCTGGGGTTTCCTAAGTGAAGTGGTGATTTCTTGTCCTGCTAGGCAGCTGATAACAGTGGCTGGGTGAGGCCAGGGAGGGAGGGAGGGCAGGCCTTGGCAGGCAGTGACAGTCCTTGAGGGAGCTGCTGCAGGGTCCCAGGAAGGCACCGGTAAGGAGAAGAGGAGGGTACCTGCTTTTCTCTCTCCATGGCTATTACCGGAGCTCACACCTCTGACCCTCGGATAGTCCTGGCCATCACTAATTATTCTCGAGTGGCTGTGGTGGTGTCAGGACCACAGCAGTGAGGCTGTGGGGCTCTCAGGACCAGGATTCCATCCAGGTCCAGATCAGGGCTCCCTGACACACACGGTTGCATCCTTGTGGCTGACATGACGCCTGTTCCCTCTCTTTCCATTGTTTCTCTGTAGCTGGCAGCTTGCAGCTCTCAGAGTAGTGTGTTTAGATGGCCTTGGCCACTGACTGGAGTGGGGTGACCCTAGGAGGAAGTCGAGGGGCAGCAGCCTCTTGGGGATGTGACAGGGCTGTGGGTGGCCAAGGACCTTTTGTTATGGTCACAGTTCTTTGGTGTGTAAGGAGGACTCACGCCTCCTTGTGCTCTTGAATCGATGGTGCCTGGCCTTGGATGAATCGGTATGTTGTGAGTACCAGCTGTGTGAACGAACATCAGGAGAGGGGGTAGTAGCTACCCTGTGTGTGAGAGGGGGGTGCTAACTCAAAGGACATTGAGCACCGTGCTCCTGATTTTTCTGGGTTATGGAGACCTTTGATAGGTTGGATAAAAATCCGGGCCCTGTCTATCAAGGACAAAGCCGGCAATAGTCTACTGATCAGCACTGAGGAGTCAGGGGTCTCTGAATCTTTTGGGGGGACTCAGAGAATGGGGTTCAGAGAATAGGCTATGGGTGATAGACAGTATCCAGCAGCTGTTCCCCTGCAAAGCCGGCCTTGCCTTAAACACTGGGATGCCTGCTCTTAGAGGAACCCCTGTCAGGAAAGGGAGCCCCCAGGGGACCTGCAGAAGGTAAGCAGAGGGGACCCTCCAAGCCTGTGGTTCTCCCTGGTAGAGAAAGAGGAGCAAGGGATGGCCCAGAAGAACCACACCCTCCGCTTGCTCTTCCACCAGCTCAGGAAGGCCTGTCTCCGGAGTGTGGCTGGCTGGAAGGGTGCGGTAGAGTTGCATGGCTGACCAGCCCTGTGCCCTCCGCTGAGGTCAAGTTTCCACCTGTTTAACCAGAATTAGCCAAAATTGAGCCCCAAAGGTAGATGCCCATGAAAGGGGGCAAGAGGCTGGCATGCATATGAACTTCCCTTGCTTTTGCATTCCGGATGCCTCCCCAGCAAAACCGTCATATGGAGACCCATAAAGGTGATCCCTGTTCTCCTTGCCTAGCTGGGTCTGGCCCATCCCACCTTGATGGATGTTGGTTCAGTGAGGCATTTCCATGTTGTACAACAGAGTGCCATGCCCCATCTAGCCTGTGACCTCTGAACCAGCCCCACAGAGCTTCCTCATTCACCTGACCTGGCTTCCTTCCCCCACAGATCTCCCTCATGGATCCCCACAGCTGGTACGCAGAGATATCGAGCTCTCAGTGACACACAGGTAGGTTCAGCTGTGGGGAAGTACAGAGCTGACCTGGGCTCCACAGGGCATTGTTGGGTCTGTTCTGGCCACCCTTTGCCTCTGGCTTACCTGCTTGTCTTGTGGTAAACAGACTCACACCCACCTTGAACTCTTGACTTAGTTAATCAGACACTTCTTGGGCCTTCTGGTCCCTCACCTGCACCTCCTTGGGTCTTGTTCTCATCCTGCTGAGGGAAAACACTCTGCTACCTTCTCCGGGTTGGAGAGAAATAGGGCCACAGTCGTGGGCAGAAACCCCAAGCTTCCTCCACGTTCGCCTCTGCATCATGCCGTCAGTCAGGGGCCTCTGTGGAGCTTGAGAATCCATGTTTCCAGAGCCTGCCCACATGCCTCTCTGTCTCACCATCAGGATTTCCCTGTACAGCCCTGCTGGCCTGGACTGGCTGTGTAGACCAGGCTGGCCTCAGACTCACAGAGATCCTCTTGCCTCTTCCTCACAACTGCTGGGATTAAATGTGTGCACCATCTCGCCCAGCAACAATCTGAATTTTTCACAATCCGAGGGATTGATGTTTGTTCATACGAGAGAAGGCCGCTGGAGACCTGTGGCAAAAACCCTCCAGAGGTCTGGCCTCAGTGCTTGTGAGACTGGAGTGTGCTGGCCACAGAGTTCTGGATGGATTGCAGGATAGTGCCTTGGGTTGCCCGTGCTCTGGTTGTCCCTGCACAAGTCTGTTCTAATCACAACAGAGGACACTGTCAGGGTCTCAAGGGCACTGCAGCTTACTAGGGCCTGTGGTTTCCTTGGAAACTGTGGGCTGTTTTCCAGCCATGCTGATGCTGGTCTCAGGTTCTCACCCAAGGGGGAGGTCTAGTTCCCAAGGGTTGAGCAGTGCATCTGAGGTCACTGCCACAGCAGCACAGCCTGGGCCCCGGTACACAAGGACCTCTGCTTGAAGTCTTGCCCACACCACAGTCCCTCAGCCGCTGTCTCAGGGAAGAGGCTCTGCACACACACAGCTAGAATAGACTGGCACCCACCTCTCTGAGTTGGTTTCAAGATTCCTGGACCCGCCCAACTCTTGGAGGTGGTTGAAATCCTCAAGTGAGCTAATGTTTGTGGGTGTGTTACAAACCGCGCCACAAACACTGTCATTCTGCTGTTACTATGATGTTTTCAAAAAGCGCGTTCCTCCAAAACTGAAAGGGCTGGCTCTGTTTCCCTGGGCTGGCCTTGTGCTTTTGTGCTGAAGGCCACCACTCCCTTAAGTCCCTCTTCTCCTTCCAGTCTACCTTCTGGTTTGTTTTTGCTTTTGTTTAGGCAGATTTTAGACCGAAAGTACATACGCTTAAAATTGAAGAGGTTTCAGGGGTAGGGAGGAGAGTCCTGCCACTCTTGCCCCGGCTTCGCAGTGTGCCCACAGATAGGTCATGTACCCATCTGGGGGGGTTTACACAGGCAAGCGTGTGTGTGTGTGTGTGTGTGTGTGTGGTTCTGTTTCCTTGCTCACACAGAACTGCACATATTACAGCCCCGTGCTTTGCTTTATTCTCCTCTTTAAGTCCACGTGACTTACAGAGAGCCAAACATACACAGTTTATAGCTGTGCCCCCTGTGCGGGCGATGAAGAGGAAGAGCGGTCCAGCACCCTGAGAGTCATCTCTGGCTCTTCCCGGCTGACTAAGCTGCCACCTGCCATTACAGTCCAAGTCTGTCATCACAGGTGGCCTTTTCCTGTGCTTGACCTGAAGCAGTGGCACCATGTCCTATTCGACTTAGTTCGGTCATCCAATGCTGAGATTTGGAGGTGGTTGCAAACGTGTGTGGAAAGAGCTGCGTGTGTTCTCTGTGTGGAGGGCGGCACTGCTGGCAGACATGGTATGTCCAGCCTCACTGTGGTGCATGGCTGCAGCAGCACAGTGTCCGCGGGTCACGTGACATCTCATCCCAGGGACTACCGTGTTGAGTAAATACAAAGACTGGAATCGCTGGGTCCGAGGGCGTGCACACCCATGCTTGATTGTTGGTGCCAGTGGCCACACAAGCTTTAAGACACTGACAGCAGCTGGGAAATCCGGTGCCTGGGGGAAGCTGCGACACCCCCCCCCCCCGCACCCTCCCTCTGTGCATGGCACCCCTCCAGAGGTCAGGCTCTGATCTCCACACGTTTCTGCCCCGGCAGGTTCTCCACAAAGTCATGGTTGTCGCAGGTCTGCAACGTGTGCCAGAAGAGCATGATGTTCGGAGTGAAGTGCAAACACTGCAGGTGCTGGCGGGGGCGGGGCGGGCGCCTGTGCCTGTAACAGCCTCCTGTCAGGTCAGACTCGAGGACTCTCCCTAGCCAGCTGCTCACAGTGCCACTGGGCACTCCTTCCGTGAAGTGAGGCACTCCTGGAGGAAAGGCACTTCTGCAGTGGGTTTGGGAAAACAAAGAAGTTTCCAAGGGAAAGTGAGGAAAGACAGAATTTGAAGGCAGGAAGAAAGCGAGGACTCTTCCAGGATCTAGGAGGAGCCCTGAAGTTGAAAGACGGGCTAGAGGGATGGGCAGTGGCAGCAGAACTGCCCTATGCCTGGGCAGAGTGAGGAGAGGTGGAGACTGGCCATGTTGTTGCTTGGTTTCCAGTGGGAAGGGACGTGAGTGGGGAACAGTGAGGGCCAACGGACTTGTCATCTGCCATCTGGTTGCCCCCACACCTTACAGAGGGTGGCCTGGAGTTTCATTTCCTAGCCGCCCGTGCCCTGGTGTTGCTGTGTGGCATGGAGTAGGGCACTTGCCCTTTCTGGGCTTCGTGTTTACCATTTAGACATTGGGGGAGCTGATCTGCTCAGCCTGTCTGAGCTCCCATGAGTGGCTCCTCCTGAGCTGTCATCAGGACAGAGCTGACAGGGTCTCATGATGAACTGTATCCTGAGGACTCTCTGACCTCTGAGCAAACTGGTCATTTGGCTATAAATGAGATCCTCAGCTCCCATGCAGGTGTGGCCAGCACATGGCGGCCCCTGAGCCACACACTGTCCTGTGCTTATAGTGGCCCCATCACCCATTTTGTTAGTAAGAACATTGAGACTTGTGGGACCAACTGGCTAGTCCCAAAGGGGAACCCAGCTCTCCCCATTCCTGGCTGGGGACTGCCCATCAGACTGGCCCGAGCCTGAAAGAGGACCGACACCCTTGGGAGCTTCAGGGCCCCTGCTGATGCTGGTGGCCTCTGAAATGTTTCTTTAAGGTCAGATTTTCCCGAGCTTTTGGAAGTGAAGGAAGTTCCCCCTTAAAAAGCAGGAGAGGGGTTTGTGGGGACATAGAAGACAGTGGCTATGGCACACAGGGTGCCCCCACACCTTGAAGCTAACACTTGTTGAGAGCTTTGGGGAAACTGAGACTGTGTCTGGGTCATCTAGGTAATTCCGGGCACTCCTTACGTGCTAACTTTCCCCCTTTACAGGTTGAAATGTCACAACAGGTGCACAAAGGAAGCCCCCGCCTGCAGAATATCCTTCCTCCCACGTGAGTGCCCGCTCTTGCCACTTCCAGGAATTGGGTGCACCTTGGTGGTGTCTGTTCCTGCTAACGGATTCCCCTCTCTCCAAACAGTAGCCAGGCTCCGGAGGACAGAGTCTGTCCCCTCGGACATCAACAACCAGGTGGACAGAGCATCAGAGCCCCATTTTGGGACCCTGCCCAAGGCCCTGACAAAGAAGGTAAGCTGGCAGTGCCCTGGGGTCTGCACTTGCGTCAGGAGCACCCCCCGCCCTGGATTCCCTTCACAAACACCCCCTCATCAGGCTTACTGGGGAAGTGGGACACCACACCACAGTCCAAGATCTGTGGCACAGACAGGGTTGGGGCGCGCCAGGGATCCTGGCTTAGCCACATCCCGGGTGTGGTTCTGTCCATGTTGGAGTTGTATGTGGTGATTCCCATGACCCCCTGTCCCTGGCATTTGTGAGCCTGCATTTCCTAAGCACCTACTGTGTGCCCAAAACCTAGTTCTGAGGGGCATGTACATGCTCAGTGTTACAAATGGAAAAACTGAGCCCAGGTTTCCCAGAGCCCATTCCTCGTGGTCCCTCACTGTGTCTTCACATAACGGAAGAGCCCAGCAAGCTGCCCTGGCCTCTCTGATATGGGCAGTGACCCTGTTTATGAAGACACCATTCTCATGGTCTGAGCAGCTCCCCAGTAGCACCACGGAGGGCTAGATTTCAACATGCTATCTTTCTGGGGAACACAGTCCCACGGGTCCTCAGCCCTGGCTGTGAGTCTCCACCGTCCCCTTTTGTGCTTCTGTGACCTTAAATGAGTGGCTCAATCACTCTGAGCTTCCCTCACGGATCGTTTGGAGCAGGATAACAGTGCTTCATGCACAGACGCTAGGATGGGGCTCCTATTGCTGGGGGGGGGATACCTGTCTCATTCCTCTCCAACTCCTCCTTTAGCCACCCCCTCCCGCCCCAGTCCCCTTTTCACAGATGTCACCAGACATCCAGGCAGTGCTGTTCCCTCCCACACATCCGTGACATCCACTTTGTCCCCTGCATATGCTAGACAGTCAGAAGCGTCTGTGTGGGGTCACTGAGTGAGTGCCTGTGGTGCAGCCGCTGCAACCTGTCTTTGGGTGATACTGCAGCTCAGGTCAGAAGTGTGTCAGAGCCGCATAGGTGCAGAGAGGCCGGGGCGGGGGGGGAGGACTGGGGGGGATGGATCCGCAGCCTTGGAGTGGGGGCAGGCCAGGCCAACTTCAGCTCTGTGAGCTTCAGGGTACACTGGCCACCCACAGCCTCAGGTCTTGCAAGAGAGAAGCTTGTTATACGTGGCACTAACAGGTTGGACCCTGTTTTGTATAAGGCTTTCCTTTCTGCCCTAGGAAGTAAAGGTATTGAACCAGATCTGCAATCCACCTAACCCAAAGTGCTCCCAGACCCCTCTTGGGCCTTGTAGCTTGGTTAAGTCTCAAAGCATGATCCCAAGCCCTGTTTGGTCCAAGATAGCGAGTCAAATGGGCAAACATTAGACGTCTACTGTGTACTGCATGCCCGGCCTTTGTTTTGCTACAAATCCACACAGCGGTGCACTGGCATAAGTCACGGTGTGAGGCTAAGGAAATGGAAGCTCAGAGAGGTCAAGGAAGTTGCCCAAAGCCACCCAGCTAAGAAGTGGTAGAACCCTGGTGGGAATCTCAGGCAGCCTACGTCATACCTGATGCCATTGCACAAAGCTGCGGGCAGAAGAGCTGAGCCTGAGTTTCCCCCACCCCTTCCATACTGGCTTCCCTTGCAGACTGCACCCTCTGATCCCAGGTTACCTGGGTGCCCAGGTCCCGAGCTCCAAGTCATCTACCCCGCTCTGTCCTAAGGGCATAGCCCAGCCTCGTAGTTACTGACCAGAATCTGGTGTGTAGTCCTTATCAACACAACTAGAAAAGCCCTGCTTTAATCCGTCCTAATTAGAACACCCCCATAGGTAGAAGGTAATTAATAAACTAAATGTCTCTGGGGCTGGAGAGATGGCTCAGTCCATAGCGTGATCACTTAGGACCTGGATTCTGATGCCCAACACCCGCATACAAAGCCAGGCATGAGAGCCATAAAGCTCACACCTTTAATCCCAGCACCCAAGAGGCAGAGGCAAGTGGTTCCCTGTGAGTTCATGGGCAGCCTGGTCTGCATAACAAGTTTCAAGCCAGCCAGGACTATGTAGGGAGACCCTGTCTTAATATGAAACAATAAAAAGCCAGGGATAGCGGTGCACCTGTGATCCTAAGTACCAGACAAGTGGAGACAGGAAGACCCTTGCTGATCAGCCAGTCTCGTCAGCTCAGTAAAGGACACTGCCTCTGAAAACAAGGCAGGAAGTGGTGGTATCTAGTGTCTCAGCCTCTGGCCTCCACACACGTGTAAAAAGGTGTTCACGTATGTGCGTGTGCAAATGATACTCAAATGTCTTTGAAATCCAGAAGCTATTTCATTCTGACTAGAAACCACACCTGTCCAAGGTTTGAGCCTGTCACCTGCCTTTTCCAAGACAGGGCTGGACAGGTATTGAAGCTGCAGTGTGTGATGAACCAGGCCTGCCCCTGCAGTCAGTTCCTGGAGTCTCTCTCAGAAATTTCCTTCTAGCTCTAGATTCCCCACCACCACACCCCCACACACCCCTTTCTTTTTTGATACAAAGTCTCATGTATCCCCAGACTGGTCTCAAACTCACTTTGTAGATAAGACTGACTTTGGACTTGGGATCCTCCTGCCTTTGCCTCCTGAGTTCTGGGATTACAGGCCTGTTCCACTATGCCTACTTTTTGCAGTACTAGGACCAAAACCAGGGCTTTGTGTGCTAGGCAAGCGCCACAGCAGCTGAGCCATACCCCCCGACTCCAGTCCTGGAATTCTTAACCCTGCACGATGGCTGGCAACACTGGCCCAAGCTGTTGCCTCTTGTGGAGTTTTCCAGGTTCTTGTACTTTTAGGACAAGGTCACAGGACTATAGACTCTGAGCCTTGTTATCACCCTGCTGGCTGCAGAGTGCCTGGCACATAGCAGAAACTGAAAAACTGTTGGTCACAGTGTGGATCCAATTCGTTAAGAAGCTGGGTTTCCAGCTCAGAGCCAGGCAGGTGCTGGGGTGGGAGAGGTGGTTGGCAGCAAGCCAACCTCGGCCATCTGAAGCTGACAAGATGTGTGTTAAGGGGCCTGGATGTTGTATGCTGGGCGCTATGGGAGAATAAAGAGGAAGAACACACATAGTTCCAGCTAGGGCTCAGATGGACTTCCAGAGGGAAGTAGGAAGTGCAGTAAGAGAGATGGGCAGGAACCCTTTAGGGGAGGGTCTCCAAGTGTCTTTTCATCATAAATTAGTCCAGGAAATCTTGGGACTACAGAACAGGGCCCCAAGGATCTCTTGGCCTGACCTCCACCCATGGAGGTGGAAGGAGCGGGGAGGAAGGAAGTCTTCAGCAGGTCGGCAGTGGCTGAGTTGAGCTTGCAGCCCTGCCCAGCCCAGCATCTCTGGTCCTGCAGGAACATCCTCCAGCCATGAACCTGGACTCCAGCAGCAACCCATCCTCCACCACGTCCTCCACACCCTCATCACCGGCGCCCTTCCTGACCTCATCTAACCCCTCCAGTGCCACCACGCCCCCCAACCCCTCTCCTGGCCAGCGGGACAGCAGGTTCAGCTTCCCAGGTACCACACACCTCTGGGTTTATTCTGGATTCTTAGGGGTGGCCTCAGACCCTCTCCCGGTGTCCCCTGAGATTTGGGTCTGTGGAGCATTTGTTGAGCGTGGGATTGGTGCTGTTGCCCCCTTCTTACAGACGAGTTTGCTGGGCTTGGGAAAGGAGGAGTGGCCGGCCCTGCGTTATTGAGTGGTAGCGTGAGGGCCAAACCCAAGTCTGTCTAACACAGAGCCTGGGTTCTTGGGGTAGCCCCAGGCTGCTTGCCTGTGCTTGTGGTGGCTCCTGTCCAGCCTCTCCTTCTCTCAGGGATGACTTCTGAGTTCAAGGGTGGTGTGACAGGCACAGTATGGAATAGAAAACCTACCAAAGGGCATTGGGCCTCTGGCATATATAGTTGTTTATTGGGGCTGGCTTCTCAGACAAGACCTCATATTCCTTCATGTGCCACCCAGAGACCCTGGGGAATTAGAATGAGGTGTTCCCACTGAACAAGTGAAGACAGTGAGTCCTGGGACAACTCTGAAGGGACAGAGCTGAGCCCAGCTGCCCTCAGTTCCACGGGGTCAGCCACCCTGGGCTGCCCTATCTCCAGGGAGCACAGCAAAGCCCACTCGCCGCCATGGCACTGAGCTGTTGCCTTGGCATCCTTGGCAAGGGCAGCTCTGCTGCCCGTCTCGGCCCTGGGCTTACCCAGTTTGCAGTCCTAAGGGAAAGCCACAGCTCTGACGCTCCTGTTTGGCGTAACCCACGGGGTCCAGATCAGCCCCCGTCGCTAGTTCCTGACATTATAAACCCAAAAAGACAGAGTGCCACCACGCCCCTCATCCCCTCTGGCTAGCGGTACCCACCTGACCTATACATAGCCAGCAGCTGGCCAAGCAGCCTCTGGGCCCACTGGGGACTTCGGGACTTCTTTTCGGGGTGGTGAGGGGCCAAAGGGTCGGACTCTTCTGTCGCGTGGTTTTGTGCCTGCCTTAATGCTTGTGGCGGGGTGCTCTTAACAGTGACGTCTGTCCCGCACTTCGTCCCTCCCTGCGGCTGAGCGGTGCCCCCTGGATTAGTGTCCTTTTCAGTTCTCTTCTGCCTTTACTCTCTGGACTTGATAAACTTTCTACTTTGGGTTTTTCTAAGAAGCACTGGTTTGAAAAGACAAGGGACAGATGACCCACAAGGAAATGGACCCCCATTGTCCTGCACAGAAGCCTTATCCTCTCCGTGGTCTTAGTGGACTCAAAATCAGATCCCTGGGGGACTGAGATGGGCCCACAGGGAAGGACCTTGAACCCCTTTGCCAACCTACCTGCTCTCATAGGAGCCTCATAGGAAAGCCTGGGCTAGCTTTGTATTCCCCTACTTACAGTCAGGCACTGGGGGGCTGACCACTTTCTCATGGAGGAGAGTCAAGGTTAGACTCACCTAGAGTCCCAGCTACTTGCAAGGCCATACATACATAGCCGGAGAATGGCACCCGTGTGTGGGAAACTGGCCCAGGCAGGATAACAAGCATCTCAGAAGCAGAAGGCGAGTGGTGTGTGCGGGTTCCCAGTCTAGAATCCCAGCACTGGGAGGATCCAGCGCTCAAGCAGCGCGGTCAGGGCACTTCTGGGTCGGGTAGACTGAAGGGAGGGAGGCCATTGCGCACACACTGTTGGACGTCGTCAAGGCCACCGCTCTCCATACTCCATCCTGGCTCCTGCACATTCTCTCCAACAAAACTGGCTGTAGCTTTTCCCAGTGCTCACTGGCCACAGCTGTTCAGCAAGGCGACCGCTGAGATGGTCCCTTGTCCCTTCTCCAGTGCAGCCTCCGCTCCTGGGCTCACCACACCTGATTCTTTTCTAGTTCGGTTCCTTTTTCCTGCATGGCTTCACCTTTGCTCACCAGAACCCCTGGGGCAGAGCCACCTGAGCCAATAACCAGCACCCGCCCCTCCCCTAGCCCACGCACCCCCCCCCACTGCCTTCGCACCGTGTGACTCACCTCCTCTTCTGTTTTAAGCTGCCTGCTTCATTCATCACAGACAGCAGTTTATCTTCCCAGGTGAGTCCTCTGCATGGGTCCACTCACTGCCCCTTGCTGTGACGCTCTGGCTGTCCCGCCTGGTGCATTCTCCCCATGCGCTTTAGCCCTCTGCAGCTGGGCCAGAGGGCAGTACCTTGCTGGATGTGACCCTGGAGTCCATCCTGTGCAGCCCCTCACAGAGACCGCAGGGAACTGGTTCAAGATCACCCTGCCCAGAAGTGACAGGATGGGAACCCAGAACTTGGGTTTGCAGAATGAGGGGTGGAGGCTGCTTGCCGATGCCTCCTGAAAAATGAGTGACAAGGGAAAGCTAATTTGGGAAAGTCTTAGCAGGCAGGCACCGTCGTCATCCCTCAGCTGGCTTTGCCTTTCCCAGCCTTAGCATACAGTGCCACCTGCTGGCATTCAGTGGAACTACCTCATTGCGTGAAGGAAGAATTTCTATTCAGTAAGGCAGTCTTTGGATTCCCTCTACAAAAACTATTTTGCACACTTCTGTATTTGCCCATACCTCTCCCCATTCGAGGCCGAATAAGATCGATGCTTTTCTCCTCCCGCTGGAAGTACCCAACACTGTGGGGTTATGCGCTTTAGACAACTCTAATAGTCTTTTCTCTGATTTGCCAAGACTGGAAGCCCCAGTATTTTGGTTATTCCAGGCTTTTCTATTCTCTGGATCAGCTCCCTTGAAGAATCGAATTGGAGCATTTGGTAACCATTATCCCCATAATTCTATTCAGGTGTGTGTGTGCAGGCTGCCAGGGGCTTTGGGTGCACCCCTGTTGTGTGATCCCCTACCTCACCTCCCAGAGCCTTTGTAGTTACCGGCTCTAGGGTGTGTATGTACACTAGTGTCCCCCCTCAACTGGGGAACCACAGCATTTCTTCCCGAGTGGCCTGCTGTGCCCTGCAGCTGGGGTAGGGCTCCGTGTACTAATTGGAACAAGAACAGAGTGCACAGTACACTCTTAAGGGCAGGTGTGAGGCTTCCCAGATCTTTGCCCCCCACCCCTACCCCCGCACCTCACCCAAGACATGTGTAGCTTCTGGAGTGGCCTGAGCATGTGCGAATATGCTGGCCTGGCAGTCTGGAGGCAATATGGAGGTGGCTGGAGAGGTCATAGCAGATGCTTCTGAGGCCCGTGGACCCCGACACTGCCCAGGGTGTTGCGCTCACATGTGCATCTCCCCATAAGAAGGCCACAGCTTCTGTCGGAGTCAGCAAAGGAGATTAGCTGAGGGCTGAGGGGGAAGGTCTTTGTCCAGGGTAGGAAAGGGGCCTCTGATAGCTTGAGCTGTTGCCACTTCCTGGTTTTCTTTGTGGAGAGAGGAGAGCTCTGCCCACCGCCACCGCTTTTCACGTGGCTCTTTGTTCCGCTCGGGAGGGGACGTGTCTGTTTCTGGTGTCCTAGAAGTGGGTCTTTGTGCTACAGCTGGGCCACCTAGGGTCCCGGGGCCGGCCTTAGTTGCCAGCCTGGAGCCTCTTGGTGCACAGACTGGATTTCCTCTTCTTGCGCAGCACTGTGAGGGCGGCCAACCACTCTCAGAGTCGGGACCAGCAACTACACCAGGCGCCAGGTGCCACAGACGTTATCGGTGCCGCGTAGCTGCCAGCCCGACCTCTAGCTAGGCAAAGGGTATCCCTGCTTTGAAAGATGACAGCCAGCCCTGCTTCCTTCCAGAAGGACCCTCTGTGGGGGCAGCAGTGTTAGCTTTTGCCACAGTGGGGTCATTTGAGCCCACAGCAGTAGTATTAATTGTTAGGGTCTCTATAGAGTCACTCACCCAGAGCCTCTGCCTGGGGCAGCCATGTAGACCAAAGGCTGTAGAGACTGAGTTTGTGTCAGCTTGCAAAATATGAGCTGATCCTGGTGGAAGCGGCCTGAGGAGAGGTGACAGCTCAGAAGAGAAGGGGTGTCCCTGGTGTGCTAGTCTTTGGGGATGAAGGAAAGCATCCTCACACTTTGCTCCTGTTCTCTTTCCCACAGACATTTCAGCTCAGGCAGCCCCGCCCTCCAGCACAGCTGACAGCACACGGTATGACCCCTCCCCAGCCACCTACCCACCCCTACATATCTGACCCTCCCCAGCCACCTACCCACCCCTACATATCTGACCCTCCCCAGCCACCTCCCAACCCACCCCTACATCTCTGACCCTCCCCAGCCACCTACCCACCTCTACATATCTGACCCTCCCCAGCCACCTCCCAACCCACCCCTACATATCTGACCCTCTGGTTCTGGGCCAGCCTGGTGGGGGATAGGCAAATCTACATTCGCCTCCTATCCATACTGTGAGCCCTGTATGGGGCTGTGTATACAACAGCAGCAGACTCATGGCTCAGCAGGAAATATAGGTGAACACAGAGAGACTTGCTACACCTAGCTCCTGCCTCTGGATCCCCCTCTCCATTAGGTTACCTTGAGCTCCTGTCTCCTGGCCCCTCAGTTCTTAGCCAGGGAAGTAGGTCTCTAAGTGCAACCATTTAGAGGGGTTAATTACATAAGTTCACACTGCGAGGTGGTGATAGCCTACTCAGAGGCAGGAGCGTGGGACCCTGCACCCCGTGCTGCAAGGGCTAGGGCGGTAACTGCCCCCAGCCTCCAGCCATATCCTCAGCTTCCACATTGCCTCCCCCAGGGCCACCCTTGGCCCAGCCCAGGAGCTCCCTGACAAAGCCCGTTTCACTCTTAGGCCCGACGACCAGCCCAAAGCAGACGTGCTGGGTGTTCATGAAGCAGAGGTGAGTGGGAGCGATTTGCCTGAGACCCAAGATAGCTGCCTCTCTCTCCTCTCTTAGGGTGCACAGGGTGGTGGGGGCCGTGGGGGAGTGAGGATGCAGAGCCTGTTGCAGCAGGTGTGGGCAGGTGTGGTGTGCATAACCAGAGAATGATGTAGAGCGCTAGCTGTGAGAGCCTCTGTATTCTCCTGTCCCGGCTCCCAGTCTACAGACCCAGTCCCTGGCCTGGGATGGGGGTAGGCATCTATCTCTGTGTAATCAGAGCGTGATAGGCGGTTCTCATAGGTGTCAAGGACAGCCGTAACCAGGTGTGGTGGTGCAGGACGTTGAGGAGATGGAGGTGGTAGGATCAGAAGGTCAGAGTCATCCTCAGCTACATAGCAAGTTGGAGGCTAGCCTGGGCTACATGAGACCCAGACTCACTCCTCTCTTTCAATCTCATTCTCCTCTCAGGCTGAGGAACCTGAGGCTGGCAAATCCGAGGCGGAAGATGATGAGGATGAGGTGGACGACCTCCCCAGCTCCCGCCGGCACTGGCGGGGTCCCATCTCTCGAAAAGCCAGCCAGACCAGCGTGTACCTGCAGGAGTGGGACATCCCCTTTGAACAGGTGGAGCTAGGCGAGCCCATTGGGCAGGGCCGCTGGGGCAGGGTGCACCGAGGCCGTTGGCATGGTGAGGTGGCCATTCGGCTGCTGGAGATAGATGGCCACAATCAGGACCACCTGAAGCTGTTCAAGAAAGAGGTGATGAACTACAGGCAGACCAGGCATGAGAACGTGGTGCTCTTTATGGGGGCCTGCATGAACCCACCCCACCTGGCCATTATCACCAGGTAAGCCACCCCGCCTGGGCCCGTGAGCAGCACAGCTTCCCTGTCCCTAAAGCCCAAGGCTTCTGTGGATGCCCTGAAGGATGTGGAAGGGTTATCAAAGAGGAAGAAGAAAACCAAAGATAGGGAATCATGTCCCCATCCACACTGCCCACTGATGTTAGAACACCAGAGCTGGGCGTGGCAGTATACACCTGTAGTGCTGGCACCCAGAGGCTGACGCAGGGGAATCTTGAGTTTTAGAAAGCCAGGTCTGCATAGCAAGACCCTGGCTCTCCTCAAAATAAATGCATAAATAAATAAGTAAATCAACCAATCGATCAAGAGACCCCTCTGAGCAAAAAGGAAACCCTGGTGTTCTAGAAGACACAGAGCAGAAGCTACACTTAGAGCACCTTGCTTGGACATGTCTCCCCACCAAGGTGGGTGTGGTGAATCTCAGTATCCCTTCCATTAAAATAAAGCCGATTGGGGGCCCGCAAGATGACTCAGCAGGCGAGGGCACTTGGTGCACAAACCTGGCAGTCTAATTTTGATTCGCAGAACCCCTAGGAGAGAACTGACTCCCACGAGTTGTCCTCAGACCTCCACAGGCATGCTGTGCTGTGTGCACACATACCACATACACACACGCACATAAACAGAAATAAACAATTTAATTTAGAAATATATAACTAAGATAATGCTGGTTCACATTTTACCTCTGTTGCTTGACTGTAGGCCTCAGGTCTACTTCGGGGTGCACGTTTTGCTGTGGGGTGAGCCCGGTGCCGTGTGCATTCAGCGGGTGCTGTGTTGAGCCATACCCCAGTCCTGACATTTTGCTGTCTTGATGTAAATTGCCTGTTTCTACTTCAGAAAGTCTTCTGTGACCCACTTGTCGTTCTCCATGGAAAACAATGTCCTTGCCCAGAGCAGCAGGCCTAGACACAGAAACAGTTGCCTGGGCCACTTTAAAATCAGACAAGGGAGCTGGGGAGAAGGCTTGATGCACAAGAACACCCATGTGAACTTGAGGGCCTGAGTTCGGACCCCAGCACTGGGGTTTACAGATGTGTGGGTTGCCAAACACACACACATAGGGTCTGTTGATAGAGCCTCAGCTGTCCTAGAACTCACTGTGTCAGCCAGGTTGGACTTGAACTCAGATTCACCTGCTCCTGCCTCCTGGGTACTGAGAATAAAGGCGTCTGATGTCACGTCCAGTTTCATGTTCGCTTTGTAAGTGGGCGGTGGAGCCCAACTCGGGTACTCATGACTTCCATTCCACAAAGCCAAGAGAACCCGCCCTCACCGGCATGACGTGTCCTGCACCTGCACCTGTGCTTTGGGGAAACAAGCAAACCACTCCAAACAAACAACAGGGTTTTTTTTCTTAATACAATAAATGAATTTTTCTCAGAGATAAAGAACTCCTCTGAGATACTCTACAAAAAAGCAGGGCAGCAAGTCCCCAGGGAGTCCCCTTGGGGTGCCGCAGCTCTGCAGCCTCCTCTGCCATCCATCCACCCTCCTCTCACTCAGGCCTCCAGTTCCTGAAGAACTTAGAATTAGTGCAAGGGGCTGCACAGAGAGGAACACACTACTCGGTCAGCAACAGGATGTGATGCCCTGGAATCTACATATAATGAAAATAACTTTGTGGTGAGCCCAGAGGCTCTATGTAGCCTGCTGAGAGTCCTGGAGGCAGAGTTCTTCCCCATTGAGTCCTCTGTTCGGCCTTGATTGGCTGGGAGTGTGGTCAAGCTGTTTCCTCGTGCAGGGAAAGCTGGCAGTCCCTGCACCTCCAGAAATGGATGTGCATGTATGTGTAAGCATGTCTAGTTGGGCTCCAGCTGAAGTCTTGGCTTAAAAAACACATGTTCGTGTCTTGTTGGTTGGGATGGAGAACCTTCCAGAAGCAGGTGGGCCCAGTTCCCCTCCCAGGTTCCATGGGAGTGGGGTTAGCCTATCACAGCTTCAGGCCTCTTTCCAACCCCCACTGCCCTCAACAGTTTCTGCAAGGGGCGGACGTTGCACTCATTCGTGAGGGACCCCAAGATATCTCTGGACATCAACAAGACGAGGCAGATCGCCCAGGAGATCATCAAGGTAAAAGCAGGGTTGGGGAGGGTGGTTCCAGCTGCCTCTAGAGCTCTTGGTCCTTCCCCAGGCCATATCCACCTGTGCCAGGTGGTTTGTGGTTCCTCTGTCTCCTAACTGGGACACTTCAGCCTCGTCTCATCCAATCAGGTCCAGAGCTCACCACTCAGCTGGTGTTAATAGAACTGCATTAGCTGTGAAGAAACTGCATGTTCTAAAGTATCACTCTAGCTGTGTGACTTCACGGAGCTTGTTTAGCCTCTCTGAGCCTCAGCTTCCCCTCTGTGAGTACCAACACAGCCTCCTTGGTTAGGTCAGAGCAGAGACAGAATGACAACATCCATACAGAGAACAGTTGGCAAGAGCTAGGTGTGGTGAGGGTTTCTTAGCATCAACAGTGGGGAACAGAGTGCTTCACTTCAGGGTATCAAAAGACCCACACTTGGGCTGGAGAGATGGTGCTGCAGTTAAGAGCACTGGCTGCTCTCCAGAGGACCCAGGTTCAACATCTCAGCACGCACACGGCAGCTCACAGCTGTCTGTAATTCAAGTTCCAGGGGCTCTGGCATCCTTACACAGATGTACATGCAGACAAAATACCACTGCACATAAAATAAAAATAAATCATTAAAAATATATAAATAGGTTTAAAAAAGTTTTAAAGACCCACACCTTTCGCAAATTTGTGGTTATCCAAATCCAGGCTTCCTGGGAACAGGCCTGTTGTAATATGAGCGGCGGGGCTGCGTCCCCAGCACCCCGGCCGCCTGGCTAGCTTATGCCCCGAAATAACAACACACAAACTGTATTCATTTAAACACTGCTTGGCCATTTCTCTCTAGCCTCTTTTTTTTTTTTTTTTTTTGAGACAGGGTTTCTCTGTGGCTTTGGAGCCTGTCCTGGAACTAGCTCTCGTAGACCAGGCTGGCCTCGAACTCACAGAGATCTGCCTGCCTCTGCCTCCCGAGTGCTGGGATTAAAGGCATGCGCCACCACCACCCGGCTCTATCTAGCCTCTTATAGGCTAATTCTCACATATTAATTTAGCCCATTTCTTATCATCTGTGTAGCACCTCTAGGTGTGCTTACCGGGAAGATCCTAGCCTACATCCATCCTGGGTCGGAGCTTCATCGCGTCTGGCTCTGAGAGGAGCTGCATGATTTCTGACCTCACTTCCTCTTCCTCCCAGCATTCTGTTCTGTTTACTCCACCCACCTATGTTCTTACCTATCAGGGCCAAGGCAGTATATTTAACCAGTGACCTTCCTCCATCAAAGGCCCTTTTGTTCTGTGCAGGCAGCTCTTTTCCATTCTGTACTCATCTAAAAAGTAAAGTGAGCCTCTCACTCGATGCTTATACAAACTATTACGAGGGCTGGAGAGGCAGGCTCAGCGGTTAAGAGCACTTGTTCTTGCAAGTTCAATTCCTAGCACCCAAACAGTGGTTCATAACCATCCTTAACTCCGGGTCCAGGGGATCCGACACCCTCTTCTGACCTCCATGGGCACCGAGCACACACGTGATGCACATACATAATTTCAGGCAAAACACATAAAATGAATCTAATTTTAAAAGAATAAAAGCCAAGTACCGTGAATATAAATCCCAGAGCTAGGAAGGCTGGGACAGGAGGATTGAGAGTTTGAACTCAGCCTAGACCACACAGGGAAGGGAGACTGCTTTGTCTACAAAACAGAAAACCTGAAACACTGATAAGACTCCTCTCTCTATTTTGAAAATCTGCAGCCTCTCGGGCTGGTATGGAGTTCAGCTGGTCAAGTGCTTGCTTAGCATGTACAAAGTCATGTGATCAGTACTCAGCACCATAAACCAGGCATAGTGGCACACCTGTAATCCCAGTCTTTGGGAGCTAGACTGGAAGATCAGAAGTTCAAGATCATCCTTGGTTACCAAACAAATTCGAAGTTAGCCCGAGCTACATGAAACCTTGTCTAGGAAAAGAAGAGCTGCCCCTTTGCCACTATGTGTCAACTGGCCTTCCTTTCCGACCCCTCCTCCTCTTCTTCCCCTTCTTTCCCCTCTTCTCTCAGGCCATTTTGTATATGTGGATGTCTTAGAAAGGAAAAGATAAAAATGATATTGGGGGACAAACCAGGATTTCAGTCTGCCCCTTTTTTTCCCATGGCCACACTTAGAAATTAAACCTCCAGGACCAAAACCCTCAGTGTCACCTCTGCCTCAGGTGTGGCCTTTCATCAAGGACTCTGCTCTACCCCCACACCTGACCTCTACCCCTCCTTACTCCCTCAGATCTGGGAGCTGCCCTCTGAGTCACCAGAGTCAAGGGGGCCAGGAGGACAGGTGACTCAGACACTCTGGAGACAGCAGGCTCTTGCGGCCTGTCACTCCTGTTCCCTTTTTACTGAAAGACCTTCTCTTGCCCCTGGGGGCCCTGGCTCAGCCCCCACCTCACCCCCACCCTAGTCACTTCTCTTTGAAGTAATCTGAGATGCATTGAGAGTCAAAAGCAGAGCAGAAGGACCTGACCTTCCCTGAGAGGGTTTGCAACTTCGAGGGTTATGGTGGAGACTCGGGGAAATGGTGAAGAAAGACTCTAGAGCCTGTCTCTGTAACCTGGCCCTTCCCAGCTGTCACTCCTGGGGCTTGTGCATGTGGGTGGGGTGTCCTCATATCCAATGGAGCTGAGGATGACCTTAAACCCTGCCTCCGTTTCTCAAGTGCTGGGAGCTCCACTCAGTGCCTCAGACAGGGATAGCTGCTTGTCCTTAGCCCACGGTGGAACCTGTCCCTCCAGCACCTGGACCATGTGCCCCTGACCTTGAGGTCAGGCCAGAGCACTTGCTGTGGGAATCGCCCACCACGTTTCACCTGACGGATGAGGAGGCAGAAGCTCCGAGGGGCCAGCACTGTGCCCAGGGCCACATAGTGCCAGCTGAGTGAGGGTGGAGCATGGAACTCAGGCTTCAGGTTTGGATCCCCTGTTACCATGGTGAGGTGTTGGAAACAGCCAAACTTGAGATCCCGTCCAAGGAATGTCTCTTACCTGCTCTGGGTGTCACCCTGCCTAGGAGCAGAGCCCATCTAGGGAACTCCTTATTCATCAAATCTGTTTCTAAGATCTTGTCATCCATCTGCTACCCTCCATCCCATGTGTGTGTGTGTGTGTGTGTGTGTGTGTGTGCGTGTGTGTGTGTGCGCGTGCGCCTGGTACCCACAGAGACCAGAAATGGGCACTGGATTCCTTGGAACTAGAGTTACAGATGGCTGTGAGCCACCCTATGTGGGTGCTGGAAACTGAACTCTGGTCCTCTGCAGGAGGAGGAGGTGCTCCTAACCACTGAGCCATCCCTCCAGCCCTGATTATTTAGAATTGGTAATGCTGAGTACTGAACATGGGACCTTATGCATGGGAACACACGCTTAACTACTGAGCTCCGTCTCCAGCCCTTATCACTGATCTTTACCTCCTCGACCTCTGCCCACTGCCAGTCATTGTGCCCGTGCCTCACACCTTACCCAAGTCTGAGGCGGCTGTAGAAAGAGCATGAACTGGTTTGAGGTTAGATTTGGGCTCCGTGGTTAACTGCTGTGGTGTGATCTGGGGCAGTCACTTGCCCTCTCTGGGCCTCAGTTGCTTCATCTGTGAGGTGAAGACGGTATCCTTCAAGATTGGGTGGGGGGATGGGTAGCGCGCCTCGCCCCAAGTAAAGCTCAGCATCCCCCACCCCCCTGATACAAGGTTGGCTGTCTTGCAGGGCATGGGGTATCTTCATGCCAAGGGCATCGTGCACAAAGACCTCAAGTCCAAGAATGTCTTTTATGATAACGGCAAAGTGGTCATCACAGACTTCGGGCTGTTTGGGATCTCGGGCGTGGTCCGGGAGGAGCGGTGAGTTGACCATGGGTGTCTGCATGCATGGGAGGCTGCAGCATTACACGAGTGTGGAATACCCAGGCTGTATCGTTGGCAAGAGCCTTCCCTGCACGGGCCAGGTTGCCGCAGTTCCTGGTTCTGCCCATGTGGTTTCAGTCCAGGGTTGGGTCTGGGTGGTGTTTAGGTTCCTCGTGGTACCTGATTTCCAGGTGGATACCCATGGAGGCTGAGTCCCCTGGCACATTCGGCTTGGCTACTCAGTGATGGGTGAGAGATCTGGTTTATATCCTCTTGATGAGAAAGAGCATTGGATTTTACTGCCTGTGATTGTAAAGGGGATGGGTGACAAGAAAAGCTCCTCCATAAGAATGGGGGTGGGGCCTCAAGGAAGATTGACAGGCCAGAGAGTCAGCCTGCAGGTTTGACATCTGCAGACAGGCCTGAGGTCCTAGACAGACCAGTCACTCTCAGGACAAGGACTCAAACACCATCCCTAGCGGCTCCCTGCCATTCCCAACTGTGGCCTCCCTTTCTAGAAGTGCCCAGCCTGTTCAAGGGCAAGGAAGACTTCCATATTCCTCTCTGAGTTTTCTCACCTGCTCCCACTGAGGGGCCCATGTCCTTGTCCTGGCCTCCAGGCGTGAGAACCAATTGAAGCTGTCCCATGATTGGCTGTGCTACCTGGCACCTGAGATTGTACGAGAAATGATACCCGGGAGGGATGAGGACCAGCTGCCGTTCTCCAAAGCTGCCGATGTCTATGCGTTCGGGTGAGTAGGCCACCGGCACTCAAGTACAATGGTGGCCATCGGGCTGGGAAGCATGCTGGGAAGTCATGGCTGTGCCCCTTGTTGGCAGAGTGACCGTGTCTTTGACCTTTTATCTCTGGCTCCTAATGTGGGCAGCTCCTAGAACCTGATGTGGGGTTTTGTGAAGCTGCAATAGCTCACACTGTGGTGTGTCTCCATAGGACCGTGTGGTATGAACTACAGGCGAGAGAGTGGCCCTTTAAACACCAGCCTGCAGAAGCCTTGATCTGGCAGATCGGAAGTGGGGAAGGAGTGAGGCGCGTCCTGGCCTCCGTCAGCCTGGGGAAGGAAGTCGGCGTGAGTAGAGGGAAGCAGGGCCCGAGGGCGGGCTGGGCATGTGACATGACTGCCTTCCACTCACCCTGAGCCTGGGGTAGGGGTCTTGTGATGGCCGCGTGTGTAGGCCACCCTTCTGGGTGACGAGGCTGCAGATGGTGCTGGGGGCTGAGTGGACCCTGAGAGAAGGCCTTCCTTTCGTTGTGGCGGCTGCTCTGCAGGCTGGCAGCTGCATTCCTGTGTTTAGTTCTTGTCCAGCCAGTCTTCACTCTGGTAGCACTGAGATGCCCACTTGTGGCCTCCCCACCCTGTATATAGTACCAGGACCTCACATTCACACGTGGACACTTCCACGTTCCTACGATGTGCAAAGGCCACCTACCTTCAGTCCCCCTCTCCTATTTCCATCCTGCCTGACTTGGTCACTGACATTAGGGACGGGCAAGCTGAGGAGGAAGGGAAAAAGGCAAGTTCGTTTTGACCTGGAAGGTTGGTGGCACCTCTGAACTGCTTACTTCCCAGGAATCTGTGCCCATAGTTGGGCACTTAGGGACTTCACAGGAACCCTTATGAAGTGTCCTGTCCATCTGCACCCTCACCCCTTCCCAGATACCCACACACACTGACCACAGTGCCCTTTGCAGGAGATCCTGTCTGCATGCTGGGCTTTCGACCTGCAGGAAAGACCCAGCTTCAGCCTGCTGATGGACATGCTGGAAAAGCTGCCCAAGCTGAACCGGCGGCTCTCCCATCCGGGGCACTTTTGGAAGTCGGCTGAGTAAGTATCCCCTCATAAGCCTGACCTGCCATCAGATCCTGGAGAGCCTGTCTGGGGTGTTTAAGGGAGCCCTCTGCTGAACAGGCATCAGACTACGCTCTGGGGCTTCCATGGGGGAGGGGGAGAGAGGCCCTTAGCAGGCAAACACCTCCAGTTTCCACCTGTGGGAATATACATGTCACTCACTGTATTAGAGCATCACTGACACCAAGCCCAGGCTAGACCAGGGTGAGAAAGTTATGCCTGAGAGGAGAAAGGGTCAGAGGTCAGGACCTGGTACCCACTTAGTAGCTGAGCTGTTGAGCACTGAAATCTTGCTGTCCCTTAATGGGCCATGCCACTCAGCTGTGTAGAGCCCCAAAGCCCCAGGGGCCACTGTCATCCCTCCTGCATTTTGTCCTGTTCTGTTTCTACTCTGGCTTCCTCCTCTAAAGACCCCTCTCCAGCCACACCCCTTTGTCAGGATGTGGGGCCTCGTTACCTGCCTCAGTTTCCACAGCGGGGCTTAGGTAAGGAATTTTGCCCAGAAGTATCAGGTAAATCCCATAAGCTTGGCAGGTGAGGTGTGGGCATTGACAGTGGGGGAGGGGTGCTGAGCCCTGTGCTGCTATAGGTCTTGGGCCCTGTGAATACAGGGTTCCTCTTCCACCAAACCCTGCCGGCACTGGGCAGGCACCAGCAGCCAAAGACGACCCCTGTTGCTGGAAGCCGGTCAGTGCCACCTTCTCATCTCACAGAAGGGAAACTGAGTTCACTAGTAGAGCCGTCACCTGCCCACAGCCACCAGCCACCAGGCTTCCATGACAGCCAGGAAGAGCCTTCTGTTTCTGGTCTCTGTTCCGGGGCCGCTAACTCTCACTTTCTCTTTTCTTTCCCCATGACTTTGTCACTTTTCATTTTCCGGGGGGTGGCGGATCCCCTGGCCTGTCTTGTCATCTCCCCTGCCCCCCACCCTGACTCCTCCACCTGTCTGCTGGCCGGACCGGATCCGACGGCCCTCTTCAACTGCTGACGACATGGTCTCTGGCACCCCCAGCCGCTGGCGGAGCCGCTACTACGGAAAAGGACGCTATGGTCACCCTGACTTTAAGAGCTCCTGTCCAGTTCTGGAGGAATAGTGTGTTTCCATCACTTCTCTCATTTCCTGCCTGTGTGTGACTGTACCCATTGCATACCTGCGCTTCCCATTCTGTCGCTGCATGCCAGCTTCTCGCATCCATGCTTTCATTCCCATAATCCACAGTGACCTTTTGCAGCTGAAATGGGCACCAGCTAGGGCCACTGGGCTAGTGTTTCTCACAGAGGGGTGTGGCAGGCAGGGCCCCTCTCCACACCATGTGGGTGAGGGAGAATGAGCTCATTGAGCTAAGTCCCCCAAATCCCACTGCTGAGTGAAGTTCAGAGGAGGAATGAATGAGTTGTGGTAGCATGAGCCTATTACCCCAGCTTCCAGGAGGCTGAGGCAGAGGGATTTTAAATTTGAGTCTAGCCTGGGATACATAGTGAAGTCTCAGAAGTAAAAGCACCAATGGCAGCTGAGCACACACACTTTTAATTCCAGTTTCAGAGACAGAGGCAGGTGGATCTCAAGGCCAGCCTGGTCTATGTAGTAAGTGCCAGGAAAGACCCTGTCTCAATAAACAAACAAACAAACAAAAAGCATCAACAAATTGCTGGGGATGAGACTCCATGGTAGAACTTAGCATCTATGAGGCTTCAGCACTACCAATGTTAGTAACAGTAATAGTAATAATAAATACAGAGGGGAGGGGAAGCATCAGGGAGCAGAAGTGGTACTGCCTAGGGGGCCAGTTTAATTATCACAAGGAGCTGTGGGGTGCCTGTCACGGCCCCATGGTGACTTGGAAAAGCTCCCCCGTGCCCACACCACCTGTCAAAGTTGCCCCTCTGCCATCCCGAGGGGTGGAGTTGGGGATCCTATTCTCTGCAGGCAGCTCTGTCCCTGAGCAGCCGCTCTGGCCAGGTGCCGTGCCCTGGCTTCTTCAGGCTCAGGTTTTGACGCTGCTCTCTCTCTGTCTGTAGGTTGTAGGCCTGGCTGTCTTGCATGCCCCAGGCTTCCTTCCTCCTAACCGCCAGCTCCGCTCCGTGACTTCTAAGACTCCAAACGCCAGCAGGCACTAACCCAGGGGATGCCATCTCTGCTGCTCCAGTCTCCTCCCTCCAGGCTCCTTCTTGTGCTCTGTTTTTAACAACGGCCCCTCCCCTCCATACGGCCTGTGGGTGCCTGACTTGAGTCACTGCCGGGGGAGGATGGCACTAACAGGGTGACCCCTCAAGGCGGAAGAACGGCCTCCGTGGATGAGACGGTCTTTTTCTCTCCTGCTCTCCTAAGAGTGGCTCTTGCTTGTGTTCCTCTGGTCCCTAGCCCCTACTAACACCTTCACGAGCCCCTGCTGAGCATGCTCAGAGGATGGGAAGGAGCTTGACGGCCCTGGGACATTGTCCTGCAAGGGGTGTAGTGGTTCAGAGCTGCCCAAAGCAAGCACTGAGGTCAAGGGCCCTGTCTGGAGCCCTGTGTCTCTCTCATGAAGACAGAGGACAGTAGGCACACACCGAGGTCACGGGCCCTATCTGGAGCCCTGTGTCTCTCTCATGAAGACAGAGGACAGTAGGCACACACGCACGCACGCACCTGCTAGGGGTTACATGACCCTGGCCAGATCTCTGTTGGGCTCAGGATTGATTCTGCTCCCCGCAGTGGACCCCACTTGAACACCATTTCTGAAAGGAGTGTGTGCCATCAGTCCTGGTACAGGTCCTCAGGTCTCTCATCAGCTCCATATCCACAAGGAGCAGCCAGTGAGGGAACACCCTCCGTCCGAAAGTGGCTGCTGTTATGCTGGGTGCTGGCGAGCCAGGTGAACAGGCCGTGTCACTGTTCTCCAGGTAGGGACTGTGGCTGACGCCCAGGACTTAGGGGCCAGGAGCAGCTCTGCCAAGGCCATGGGCCGAGCAGTTGTCCTCACTCAGATCCTCTGCCAAGCATAGCCAGCGACATCTTAACTCTGGTCAAAACCAGCGGAGCCATAACCCATGTCTCTGCTCCTCTCCGCAGCATTAACAGCAGCAAAGTCATGCCCCGCTTTGAAAGGTTTGGCCTGGGCGCCCTGGAGTCCAGTAATCCAAAGATGTAGCCGGCCGTGCACATTCGTGCAGAGGGTGTCTTCCTTTCTGAAACATGATAACGAAACACACAAACCGCCACCGGGAGGACTCAGAAAAGCTTTGCATGACTCCTCCGTGAAGAATGTACATTACAGAGGGGCGCGGGGCTCAGGATCGGAGCCATACCCGCCTCTCCAGACGACACCACTACAGCCAGTGTTTACACAGAGGTTTCTGCCCCGCAAGCTTGGTGTTTTACAGTAGTTAATAATAACTCCGCAGAAGGGTGCTGCCACCTCAGAGCAAGAGAAATGCCCCCACGTTTCCTATTCTACGATTCTGCAGCAGCGAGGGACCCAGGGTTGAGCAAGAAGGAAGAAAAGTAGCATGAATGTTACTATTCTAGGAAAAGAGGACATGACAGAAGGCTTGCCCCGGCCTACGCTCTGGCTCAGACTCCCACTGGTCCCTTTGTTTGTCCTATAAGGAACACCAACCGTTACTTAACTTGCAGAGGAAACCCTGGCCAGGAACTCATCTGGACTATGGGGTCAGGAGTTCCTGAAGAGTTTGGATTTAGTTTCTGCTCTGCTCCGGGCTTGTTGTATTAAAAAAGTACAGACAGAATCTAGGTGGCTTCTAGACAGATCTGGTGGATCTTAGCTCAGCTTGTACTGCAGCGGGAGAAAACAGCCACACGTCTGTGGAGACATTCGCTGCTTCTCTGAGGCCTCCAGGCAGGCACGAAGGCTGTGGAACCCAGCCTTCATCATTACACACCCCCCCAGTGCCTCAGTTCACCCCCAAAGCCAAGAGCTAGCCCATCAGCTGCGTGTCCAGTGAGTCCTTGGTTGAGGAAGACGGTGAAGGTGGCAAATACAGCCTACGGTGACCCTAGCACTTTAAAACCCATGTCTGTCATGCCAGAAGGTTCCAGACATACCACCACTTCCACTTCCCCAGTCTCATTGAAGCCTTTTACCCCATTCTGACCCCTGTGTGTGCCCTGAGCTCAGATTGGGGCCTGAGGCTGTCCAGAGACTTGAGTGAGACGTACCTAGTAAGTCCCTATCCGTGAGCCTCAGACTTGTGCTTGTGTTCATTTCCGCAGGCAGGAGGGATTGGGGTGAGTCAGACGTGTTGCAGTCCTTGAGCAGAGGTTGAGCAGCATCCGACTCCACAACCAGAAGGGGGAAGAAATGGGCGTGGAGAAGTGGGTAGATTTTGGCCTACGGGCTTACATAGTCCCACTGTGGAGTGGCCATGTGGCTCCCCCTTAAACACCGACTAAGGCTCAGTTGTCAGAGCCTGCCCTAGCACCAGAGTCCAGTGCAGGTGTCTGAGAAGTTGGGGGACCCTCCCCACATCCACCCCAGCACAGCTGTTCATGCTACAGGAGAGCTGGGACTGTGGCATCTTGGCCCTGCCCCAGTGTGCGAAGGAGGAAGAGCTGCGAGCCTCTGTTCAGTTCTGCGTGGGTCATCTGTCCTCTGAAATGGGACCATCATGTCACTTCCACACCCCTTTGGCTTTCCACCCTAACCCTTGGTGTCACTTCCCTACTCTAAACCACAGAGTCTATAATTACTGCCTCTGTGGCAGTCTCATGGCTATCCCTTCCCAGAGGTCACAATGACTGAGCTTCTGGCCACTCTCCCACTTTGTGAGTGGTGTGGCATTGGCCTCCCCTCACGGGTAGAACATGAGTCATCAGGCTGGCAGCTGAGTCAGCCCTTTCAGTCATCCCTCAACACCAGACCACAGAGGGCATCACACACAGCCCACTGGGTCTCACCCTGTATCGTAGACATCTCAGGGCCAGAAACTCTGAGCCCTGCAGCGAATGTGATCTTGTGCACGTACTGGGGACCAGTAAGAGTAGCCATGGTCCCTGCTTTAAGGAGCTGACCATCTGCTGTGGGTCAGTATGCAGGGGACCTGACATCGTGGAACCTTTGGGCCACTGGTGAAGCTATCGTGCTGGAACCTTCCTCACTTCCTCTCCAAGGCCTGCTGCTGTTTAAGAGAGTCCCCCATCATGGTCCCTGTTTCCTTTTCTACTTAAGTTAATGTGAATTGAGGTTAGGAAAGTTTGCCTCCTCTGTGCTCTCCCTGTCTCCTGGGAAACACATGAAGGATGACAGATACTGTGAATTCAGCCCCAATAGCCACTGTGAAGGCAATGGAAAAAAAGGCATGAAGCCAGGCGGTGGTGGCACACGCCTTTAATCCCAGTACCCGGGAGGCAGAGGCAGGTGAATCTCTGTGAGTTTGAGGCCAGCTTGGTCTACAGAGCTAGTTCCAGGACAGGCTCCAGAGCTGCAGAGAAACCCTGTCTCAAAAAACCAAAAAAAAAAAAAAAAAAAAAAAAAAAAAAAA